CGTGGGAACCCCACTGTTGAAGTTGATCTCTACACCTTAAAAGGTCTCTTCTGAGCGGCTGTGCCCAGCGGTGCCTCCACTGGCATCTACGAGGCCCTAGAACTCTGCGACAATGAGAAGACTTGCTACATGGGGAAGGTTGTCTCAAAGGCTGTTGAGTGCATCAATAAAACTATCAGATCTGCTCTGGTTAGCAAGAAACTGAACGTTGTGGAGCAAGAGAAGATCTCATGATTGAGATGGACGGCACTGAGAATAAATCTAAATTTGGTGCAAATGCATCCTGGGAGTTTCCCTGGCAGTCTGCAAAGCTGGTGCCGCAGAAAAGGGGGTACCCCTGTACTGTCACATCGCTGACTTTGGCTGGCAACCCTGAAGTTATTCTGCCCGTCCCTGCTTTCAACGTGATCAATGGTGGTTCCTACGCTGGCAGCAAGCTGGCCCTGCAGGATCCTTCCCTTGGGGGCGTCCACCTTCCGGGAAGCCATGCGCATTGGGGCAGAGGTTTACCACAACCTGAAGAATGTCATCAAGGAGAAATACGGGAAGGATGCCACCAATGTGGGTGATAAGGGCGGGTTTACACCCAACATCCTGGAGAACAAAGCTCTGGAGCTGCTGAAGAATGCAATCGGGAAGGCCGGCTACACGGACCAGGTTGTCATCGGGATGGATGTGGCTGCCTCTGAGTTCTTCAGGTCTGGCAAGTATGACCTGGGCTTCAAGTCTCCTGATGACCCCAGCAGGTAATCACGCCTGAGCAGCTGGCTGATCTGTATAAGTCCTTCATCCAGGAGTATCCAGTGGTGTTCATCGAGGACCCCTTTGACCAGGATGACTGGGAGGCCTGGAAGAATTTCACAGCTAGTGCAGACATCCAGGTGGTTGGGGATGATCTCACAGTAACCAACCCTAAGAGGATTGCCAAGGCTGTCAGTGAGAAGTCCTGCAACTGCCTCCTGCTCAAAGTCAACCAGATTGGCTCTGTGACCTAGTCTCTGCAGGCGTGTAAGCTGGCTCAGTCCAATGGCTGGAGTATCATGGTGTCCCATCGCTCCGGGGAGACGGAGGACACTTTCATTGCCGACCTGGTGGTAGGGCTCTGCACTGGGCAGATCAAGACTGGTGCCCCTTGCTGTTCTGAGCATCTGGCCAAGTACCATCAGATCCTTAGAATCGAGGAAGAGCTGGGCAGCAAGGCCAAGTTTGCTGGCAGATGCTTCAGGAACCCCCTGGCCAAGTAAAGTGGGTGGAGATCCTGGAAACACCTGCTGCTTAGACCCTGTCCCTGGTGTCATCAACGAGGCTCAAGGCAGCCCAGTGCTTGTCCCTCCCATGCCACCGCTTCCTTAGGCCACCTGGAGCCCTGCTGGAAACCCCAGCTTTGTAATCATGTGATTGGCTGAGTCATTGTTTGTACCTCACTTCCAAGCTAGTGTCTGGAGCCCAGTGTAATCTGTAGGGTGGCCACAGGCAAGACCCCCACCCCAGCTGTCCTACATACAAAATAAAAGCCTCAGTAAGAAGAAAAAAAAAAAACTATGATTCATATATTTACCCTACAGCTGTTCATAGAGCACCCACAATGCACTGAGCACTTTGGCTGTGAAAATTAATGGTGATGGCTTTAGCAGAAACCCCGTCTTTAAGGGCTATTTGAGGCTGTGCGTAGCTAGGGTGCAAAGAGTAGCCAAGAGCCACAAGGATAGAGGAGGAGTTTCTGGGTGTGCCAGGGGAGAAGGTGGAAGGCAGTTTTCTTCATGTAGTTTCCTTGTTTTTAATAACTACTGTGATATTAGTTTGCTGTGCTTTGTTTACACAACAATTTACCATCTAAGCCCTTTTTTTCCTGCTGTGCTATGATTTGAAATTTGTTTTAACATGATTTTTACTTCTTTTTGGTACAGAACATCTATGGATCAGCTTGCTAAGGACGTGCAAGATCGGAAGAGCTGAGAAAAATCAGCGTTGAACCCATTTTTTGGTGAGTGAGTAGGCTTACCCCATAGTCTGACTTCCTTATACCTGTAGTTAGCTGTCTACACATCACATCCAAGAGCTCACAGCACACCCCCTCCTTATAGACTTCTGAACTCTTAAGAGCAGCCTGACAAAAATGGGCATGTACAGGCTTCGACATGTCTCCACGGCTGTCAGCGAGCAGGAAAACACAGGCCTGGTAGCCATATCAAAGGCAACACCTTCTTCCTTCTCAGGGGCTTTGTTGCCCTTGGCTTGTCCATGGGAGTGAGGCTTGTTGACTTGTTGACCCTTCGGTGACCCCTCAGGCTGAGGAAGTGTTTTCATGTGGCTCACTGGCCTCCTTTCTCTTAATCCCTCTTGCCAAGTGGTGATACGGTTGCTGAACTTGGGCTGGCTGGGAAGCATTTCACTGACTTGTCCAGACTTACTCTGTAAGCTCTTGTTCTGTGTATCTTTAGCTTACACCACACACTCCTCTGACCCCGCCACCTCATCGCCAGGTAGTTATTGAGCAGTCAGTAGTAGATACTTTAGTGAGGAGAAGAGGGGATGCTGAGTGAGGTTCAGAGTGTACTGTCAGCTATCCAGACAGTGAGTGTGGACAGAGCACTGTCTGGCTTTTGCGGCCATATCCTTAAGAGTGTTGGAATGGTATTCCTGTCATGGTGGCAGGACACTGTCACCTTCTGGTTTGTGGCCTTAATAGAAATGTGATTCTGATCCTTCTAAACCCTGACAAGGGGGGAGGGAAGGAGGAGGAACATTATTCCATGCTAGAGTTAAGAGGCGACTGTCCCTGTACCTCAGTGACCTGGAAAAGCTGACCTCTCCAGAGTTCAAAGTTTCACACCCAGAGAACAAGCAACATCTTCACTAGGTAGCTTCCTGGAACCAGTGTTACAGGTGAACCCATCTCCGTTAACAGTCATTGGTGCTGCAGGTCCTGAGAATAACTGTGTCCTGACTGCTGGTGTCTTTGGGTAGTTTTACATGCCTTTAAATCCTGTGCCTAGAATCCTGCAGTATTTTTTTTTTGTGTGTGTGTGTGGCTCGTTTGGCTCAGTGTGCATGTGAAATTTTCCTGTTGTTAAATGTGGTTTACCTTCTTCATTGCTCTGGTAGTATTTAATTGTGCAGTTGTGGGGCACTTAGGTAGTCTTCAGTTTGTTTTTAATGCTGTGTATACATAGGACTTTTTTAAAAAAAAGTTTTATTTTGTGTATATGAGTGTTTTGCCTGCACGTATGTCTGTCTACAATTTGAGATCCTGGTGCCTGGGGAGGCCATAAGAGAGCCTTGGATCCCTGGACCTGGATGTATAGATAGTTGTAAACCAACATGTGGGTTCTGGGAATCAAACCTGGGTCCTCTAGAAAAACAGTCAGTGCTCTTAACTGCTGAACCATCTCCCCAGCCCCTTATTTTTCATTTTAATTTTGTATATATGCATATTCGAGAAGTATATGCATGTGTGTGCAGTGTTGGTAGGAAGAGGGTGTTGGATCCCCGGGGCTAGAATTACAAGCTTTTGTGAGCATCCCTATGTGGGTACTGGGTACCCAACTCAGGTTCTCTGCAAGAACAGTATGTACTCTTAACTGCTAAGCTGTCTAGTAAGGACGTGTGCTCTTTCCTCTGTGTGTGAAACTTCAAACCCTCAAGGCTATAGAGATCCATGGTCCATCATCTCTTAATTCACTTTAACACAGTCTTTCTAGGCCCAGTATTCGGATTTGACCTTTATTTCCATGCCCATCTTCTGATGTAGGTTGTGTTGTTCATTTGGGGACTACTTAGCAATTTAGGTGCTGCGGAGTAACGTGAAACCGGACTTCTTCAGAAGCAGGGTATTAGTGATGTGCCTGCTTCCCTGGGATGCTCTGATGTCAGTAGGGGCAGATGTTTTCATAGGTTCTCTGGGGCATAGGCAGGCAGAGGTCCTCTCTGGTATGCTTGAGCTGAGGTAAGGCTGGTCCCTCGGCACAGACTCACTTGTTTGCATGACGTAGAAGGGGATTGCAGAGGAGAAAAGAGATTCTAGAGAGATGTGCGTCTGGGCTGCTCTAGAGACTGTCACAACACTTTGCATACAAGATTAAGGCACCTGGAAAAGTAACATCCCAGAGGGGGACTTGGTGTGTAAGACCCAGTGAGCTTAGGGAGGTGAGTTAAGAAAATGGATCTGACCTCGCTGGCTCAAGTTCAGAAGGGGCTTTGAAAGTGCATTCTAAACACAAGGTCTGCTCTTTTGTCTGTAGAAAGCTTGGAAACATGGTCCCTAAAGTATGAATCCTAAGCCAGGAAGTAACTGAATAAAATTACTGAACTAGGGAAATGTAGTTTTCATAACTAGCGTGAGCCATCGAGCTTTGCTTTGAAGGGGTTCTATCGTCAGATCACTTCCTCCATGTCCCATTCCCCCTTGGTTGGCTTCCTCAACTGGAAAATGGGACTATTATCATGTCTTATCATGCCCCATAAATTTGCCGTTTCAGTTTAGTGCAGAAGTGTTACCAGTGCGCACAATGCCACCTCGTCACTGTCTTTGGGGTGCTCTCACTCTTGTCACTAATGTCAGCTATCTGACTGTAGTAATTATGAGACTGAACATGTGGAGCTAATGGAAACCTTAAGCTGCAGAGGAGGGGTGTGGGAAAACACCTGTCCCTGTGTCCTTGGTGTCTCACTCCATAGAGTCCACCACTGAAGACACCAGTGGAGCTGAATTCAGAGGGGGATGGAAGGTCACCTTGCACATTGTCATTTAAGGCATCACACTCTTTAACTCTTGCTGGGCATTTTGCAGTGTCTTTATGGGTCAGGGTTTTGGTGATGGTCTCAGCGGGTGACTGACTGCAGACCATGGCCAGTCTGAGATGTCTTTCCAGCCATCCATAGTCAGGGGCTGCCTCCCCTGTCAGAGCTGTGGCCCATGTGCAGTATGGTTGTTCCTCAGAGAGTTCACGATCTAACAAACCAGCCTGGTGTGAGAAGGGAACTCGTCGAGGTGCTTGAGTCAGAAAGAGAGCAGTGATTGTGAGCCTCCGACTCCGGCTCTCGACTCCCTACTGTGTGGCCTCCATTTCTTCCTATGTAGAAACCAGGAATTTGCTCTAAATTGAGACAGAAGCAGAGGTAGAGTATTTGACCCTACTAAACTTAATACTTTTTTTTGTGTACATTAGTTTTTCTTTTATTCTTTTTTTTGTTTTTGTTTTTGTTTTGATTTTAGAGACAGGGTTTTCTCTGTGTAACAGCTCTGGTTGTCCTGAAACTCGTTCTGTAGACCAGGCTGGCCTCAAACTCACAGAGATTCTCCTGCCTCTGCTTCCTGAGTGCTGGGATTAAAGGTGTGAGCCACCACCCGCACACTCCCCCCCTCCCCGGCTGCATTTGTTTTTCTTGATGTTAGCTTCTCTCTCATTCCTGTCCAGGATCGGAAGTTCTTGTGATAGTAAGGGAGAGGGTGATCTTGTGTTGCAACTTGTGTTTCCGAATAGAAAATAAGTGACCAGACTGTAAGTGATGCCTGGCTCTATGAGTGTATGTAAATCCATTGCACACTGATATTACTTTAGCCAGCTCCAACATGTGTGCTTTGTTCATTAAAAGGTGTGTATATTTTTTTGTCTGAACTAAATAATGGATGTAAAAGTCATTGCATATCCATGTATGGTGTGGTTGGATTCTGGGAGCTACAGTTAGGTTTATGTACTTACATATTTATTTTTTAATGTCCAGAATGTGTTTATTGGGGTGGTTCCCACTCTTGATTCAGGAGGCTTTTAGTATTCTCCCTCCCAAGGAACATCTTTCTGTAGGCTGTCAGAAGACAGTGGAACAGTCAACATACAGGGCTACCATTTGTGCAAGGCTAATGCATGGTGATTTGATTGCATCCTAGGATTTCATATCCATGAGGTAGGAATCAGGGTTCTGCACAGGATCCTCTTGTGTTTCCTTTCCTCTATGTTGAGGGATGAAGGCTGTCCTTTGTGAGACCATGTTTTCTGAGGCTTGTCATGACTGGAAGGGAAGTAAGAGCATCATTTAAAATACTAGCATTGCCTGGTGTAGTGGTTCATGTTTTAATCCTAGCACTTGAGAGGCAAAGGCAGGTGGATCTCTTTGAGTTCCATAGCCTGGTCTACATAGCAAGTTCCAGAACAGTCAGGGCTGCATAGAGCCAGCCACTCTGTCTCAGACAACAAGATAAAATTAAATATTAGCATTAAGGGTGTGTGGCATGTCTATCATCCTAGCACTCGGGCGGTTGAGACAGAAGGATTCTGTTTTTGAAGCTGCATTGGACTACATAGCTGGGTTCCATCTCCTGAAAAAATTAAATTGAAATATTGGATTGCATGGACTTAGCAAAATAAAAATAAGTATTAGATTGTGCTTTTATTAATCATTATTATGGCTGTCCTGAGCCTGACAGCAGTGAAACCCAGTAACATTTGTCCATTTGGTCTGGCAGACATTCTTGCAGCCTGGATATTGATGCAGTATCATTTATTTGTCTAAGAGCATAATTAATACCTTGGTTTCTCCTCCATGACACTCTTACTTGCTTTCTTGAACAGTTCTGGCTTGTTTTACCTGGTTATGCCACATATGGGGATGGCTGGAACCTTGTGTAAGAATGAGGCAATGCCCTGTCTACCTGTGCCCTTGCCTTCTCTTCACTGGGTTAAGAACGGTCATAGGACTGCATGGTTTCCACCCACACAGGCCTGTTTGTGTTTCCATGTAGCATTTTGCAGTAAACAGGCAGTTTGTAGTCTCTGAAATAGTGTCACTCCCCCAAGGAAAGGACACTCCATGACTCTGTTCTTTGTACCGTTTTCTTCACACCCCTTGCAATCTTTATCACTTTGTTTCATGGAATTGAAGTTTCTATCTCATGACTGCTTTGTGTGGACCAAGAATATTAAATTTAAGTACATTTTACTAAAACAGCAACAACAAAAACTTAAAAAAAAAACTCAACCAATAAAC